AACTGAAGCTGGGAGTATCCGATTCTTCCAGTGCCTGGATAATACATCGATGCATCATATAACGTGCAATTTTTCAGATACACTTTCAAAGATAATTGGGCGATAGAGAGCCACTATTTCTCGCTGGCCTGCTACTATACTTGCCGTTACTGCGGCATGCGCTTCAACAAGCAACGCCACAAATTCACCGAGCACGTCGACGAACACAAGGCCCAGAACCACGACATCTCCGAAAAGGTGTACGCCGCCAGCAAGCTGAGCAACATCATCCCCAAGGTGATTCACCCTCCGAAACCCCGTAGGATAGTCGTGACGCAACACAATCCACCTCCGCAGATGCTTGCGCAAAACAGCCAGCAACAGAATGCCACGCTGAACAGTTTGCTACAGCAACAGCAACAATTCAATGCCTCGGCGCAACAGCCCGTCAAGTTGAGGAGCTTCATGGAAAGGAAGACGCTCCAGCCGAACTTGCAGAACGTGAAGATTAAGGAGGAGCCGCAGGACCAGAGAGAGGTCATCACATCGCAGTCTATAACCGGCAATCAGGCATTTTTCTGCAGGAAGTGTTACAAGGTAGGTTTGCTTTTTATTATTCAAAATATCCGGCTCGAAGGACCGAAGGAGTGTTATATTTGCCTCTAATTCTCCAGTTAAGTCATTCTCTATTGATTGGCCCAAAATGGAAATATAGGGTTACTTTTCAGTGGATTTCAAAATAAATGCAATTCTTTGTTGGAAGGTAGGTACGCTTTTATTGCTTTGCTGACCAAATTCGGATACATAAATTGATGATGCATGTGTAATCTTTTTGTTGACCCGATTTAAGAATAGTGATGACATCGAAAAGCATAAAACAACAATCAGGTGAACTTTCACTTCACCTTGTATTTAAATTGACCAGCTGCAACCTTTGTGACATCAGTCAAACAATTATATTTTTTCTTCAATTTCCCTGATGTTTTTAATTTATCTGTCTTACTTTGTACGTTAACACGTGTTATCCGGCTCGGAAGACCAATAATTTGATTTTAGAGATTTATATCGCCTTTTTTTAATTTCTAGATGAAATTATTCTTTCATAAAGAGTTATGGTATGAAATATCTATGGCTAAAACTCGAATAGTATTATTATTTTTCCATTTTGGGAGTTATATCATAAGTATAATTCAGTTCAGTTTGAGAAGCCTAAAGAAAAATTATTTTTACTGCACGTTGTCCCATCTGTGGCAGAAAAAACCGATTTTATCACATCTTTTTATGTCATTGCTCACTATTTCAAACTACGGTATCCGGTACGATGGACAAATGTTAGGAAATTGATGATTTCTCATTCGAGTTTATAGTCTTTTCGTTGAGTACCAAGTATTAAATTTTAAATTTAGTTTTATTCTTTACATCTGCAAGTTCTGTTGTTATTCATGTATTTTTTCTTAGGTTTTCTTCAAATTGGACGAGTTCAACATCCACAGCAAACAATGCGACTACAACCAGTTCCCGCAATCGCGTAACTTGGCCCCGAAACCAGGATACCCCTCGAAGAATGGAGAAGTTTCGCCGGCAGGTCGCCCTCTGCGAAATTGCGCCAAAGAAATCGGTCCGTACAAGGACGAGGCTTACCTGCCCGATTCGGTGCTGAAAGAACCGAAACAGCAGTCATCTCCGCAGAGCTTCGTTTGCTTCATCTGCAACACGCCCTTCCCCACTATATATTCGAGGAATAGTCACATGCGTATCCACAAAGGTGAAACGCAAAGTAAGTAGACGTACTGATATTCGCAAACAATGTATATCAGTTATTATTGAACCTCTCAGATTTATCATGAATCCCATCTCTCTGATGGGATTTTTTCTTTGGTTCTGGTAAATTTCTGCTGGAAAACTACTGCTTCCCCGGCTAATACCGCGCTGGATATTGAATTATATCCGACAAACATGTATGCAAGATACCCTCGCGGATGTTTCTCGTTCATCCAGCAGCAGTTTCATAGGATGCTGCTGAAATTATGTGAGTAGATCACCTATAGACTGGTATGTCCAGCGTGGTATTAGTTGATGCTATGTTTCCCCTACTGGAGAACATATACATAAGGATCAATGAAGGCGAGTCAGTCGTAGCTGTGTTTTGTGACTCCATTCTGATTTATTTGAGTCTCACTACAGGGTGAGATGTCCAAGTCTCGAGTTCTGTCATGTGGAGTACCCCAAGGTTTGGTGCTGTATATATATATATGTACCATTATTTACTCTAATTTGATCAGATCCTGTGTTTATTTGTGTTTATACATCTGTAAGTGTTATTTTAACTATATTTTAACATACATCCAAGTACGACAACTGACTTTGTCAACAAGAATTGTATTCTTTCGACAATAAAGCAGATTCTGATTCTGATATATTTATATACATGTACTAAGACATTATATCCTGACATGTTTTATACCTTAATGGCTCCTTTGAATGGATAAACTGATTTGATAAACACGATCTCCTTAACCTATTCCCAGAAGGTCAATAATGAAGAACTCTGAAATAATACTAAAAAAATGTTTAATCACTTGCCAATAGATGTTCATTTCTTATTTGTATATACTAAATTTATGAATGCCCTAATCAATCTACAAAGTAAAGTTTATATGTCTATTTCATTCTGTAATACTTCTCCTATTTTGTTTTTTATTATTTCTACAATAACTTTATCGATCAGACTTGTTTCTTCTGACAATGAAGCATATAGATATATCTTTCCAATAAAATTCTCTTATCCGAAGCAGGTAACAACTTCAAGCCCCGGATCCATCTGAACCAACTGAATTACCGTATGCCCCCGCAACATCAGAACAACCAACACTATCAGCAACATCACCAGCAGCAGCAGCAGCCCATGATGCCCGTCGATGTGATGATCAAGCAGGAGCCGATGGACATGCCCATGGAGCCGATGGTGGAGATCCACGAGCCGGAACAGGGCAATTTTCCGGATTCCATAGGCGATGGAGCGGTCAGCATCACGCCCATCAGCAAAAACCCCAAGCAGAGGCCAACGATCAATCCGAACGTTATGAAGATTGTGCAGAGCAACCCGAACCTGTCGATTAAGAAATCTCCAGAGAAATTCCCGCTGGCTCATCCGCAGATGCCGAGCGGATCGCACCTACAGATGCTTTCGCTACCTGATCCCGACAGAACTTACAAGTGCTCGTCTTGTTGGGAAGCTTTTGCTAACAAGTCACACCTCTATTTCCACAAGAAGAACCAGTGCGAGGGCTCGCGGTTGCCGTGTCCTTTCTGCAAGAAGCGCTTCGGCACAGAGGCGGAATACAGTTCGCATATATATTACAGCCATCCTGAGTAGGACGACGGGCAAAGACACTTTTTAGAGTATTATATTTACGAGTCGGTGGCAAGGTCGAGTTGGGTACTGGTGATTAGATGTTTGAAGGTATGTTTTTTACGTTCGACAAGGTAGTGACAGAGTGTTCTTGGAGACGAGTGTGAGGTGATTACAAAGTTTGCCCAACGTTAGTTGGGCAAAGTGACCTCAGTGATATTCTGATTTCTCCTCAGGGTAAACTAGTCTGGTTGGTGATTGAAATAGGTGGTTGAGGTGTGATTGAGGAAAATTCATGAAGTGTCATGAGCCTGTCCTATTAATTTCTGAAAGAAAATACCCCGTTCGATTAGGATTGTCGACTTTTTGTCATTATCGACTGTAATGTTGACAATCTTTGATGATACAGTTCTTGAGGAGGGAAGATAGTAGGATCATTATGATTTAATTTGTCTCTGACACTTTCTTATAGTTACTTAAAAACTTCAATTATTTCCTGCTTGTTAGAATTCCTAAAAAAGTAGTATTTGTGAACCTTTCGTTTTATGTTTTGTTTTAAATTGTTGATTTTTATTACGACCGGAATTTTAAATTTATCAATAATATTTTTATTTTGATAGTTATGACTATGGGTCACCTCTGATTTTTAGTAATTGAATTTTAAAGTTCTCAATAATTCAGAAAAGTCACTTATAAATATGAGAATGCATATAATATGTCACTTGTGACAGTCTAAAATGACTTGATTGTGATCAAGTACTCTAGATTCAAATCCATTGATGTAGAAAATGAAACAGCATTATATTCGTTTTACTTGAAATGAAAAATACGTATCGAGAAAACATTTACACTAGAGAGTTTAAATGGAGAACAATACAACAGTTTGGAAAAATGTAAATTCCTCAAATGAATTATGTATGGAATGAAAATAACATTCTTTGTTCTTTTTTACTTTCATGATTTTTTATGTTGGATGAAAATTAAGTATGTTGAATTGACCTAAACAACTATAAAACATTCTAACTATAGTAGCTTAAACTATTCTCTATGCGAGCTTTTAGAAAACATCAATTTATAAACAAGACAAGTATCACAATAAACAATAGAAAAAAGCCTTTGGCCTGATTTTATATACATGTATATGAACATATGTATCACTACAATCATTTAAAAGAAAGCTTTATCTTTCATTAAATCTCACGGGGACTACTTTGAAGGGGACAATATAGAAATTAATGAAAACAACAAATGAAACAAACAAACAAATGAAAACAACAAATGAAATTAATGAAAACAACAAATCTCGTATATTGTAACATCTAGTAATAGAGGTGCCTATTTTAGCTGTACTTGCTTCTTTCAATAAATTGATAGATGTAGCCGTACCATGTAGTAATGGCTACACATTCTATTTTCTTTTTGGTTGAAATTCATGCAAATCAATAAATATTATTATTGTGTATCAAAGACATTAAAATTTATTATTCAATTCAAGGTTGGATATAAGATATCCTCTTTCATGATTGCATTTTGTGAATTTATATAATAACAAAAATTAAATGAAAAACAGGGAACTCAGTCAATTTATCAACACTTCCAAAATACAAATCATGAGATTATAAAACAACAATAAAAATTAATTGGCGCTCCGGGGCGACTTTATTGATTCCAGTGGCGCATTTTTTTTCAGCTACAGGAAAAACCTGCAGCACCACATCATCTGAAGATCTTTTCTGCCAATGTCCTCTCTCTAATAAAACAAAATGTAGAGTGTCTCCAATACATCGCCAGAACACTTCGTGACACGACTATCGTCAAACTTAAACCAGTCCGTTTTCTCTTTGACCGAGGCATAATAATGACCAAATTCAACGCCAGAACCACAGTGAACAGTGACTGCATGATTGAAGTGTTCATCTAATTCGAACCTTCGTAAGAGTTTGGTGCTTACGTCAGAGGTTGAGTCATGTTTGAAAATCATCAGTTTTATTATTAGATTAACTGGTGCCTCAGCTATACTTGTTTCTAACAGTCAGTTAGCTAAGAAATGTCTTTTGATTTGTATAATCTGGCATTCATCCCATAGAGTGTTTTTTTTTTGTAAAAGGTCCAGAACTAAGATGAATAATAATCAAAATCCATATTCATAATTTCACGATTTGTATTACTTTCTTCTTTACTACTTCCACTATAGTGTTAATAAACATCCACAAATAATGAATGTCCTGTGTCAAACTGATTTCATTCACATCATGTGACCTTCTATTCTGTATCTGACATTTTTTTCCGCATCATGAACTGCCAAAGTGGGATCGTCAAATGAATAATCAAATTCCTCTTGTCTATGAGAACGCTAAAATTTACGTTTTTTACCCGCCCCGGAATAGTGTCATCAATTTTTTTAATCAGCACTCGCCCGATAAACACAATTCACATATTTTACTTTTTGAGTTTGCTCTATTTAGGTATATTTCTGCGTGTTGCGGTTTTCTACACTGTAAAACTGTTAACTCAAATACATTGATCATGAATTTTCATCGCGTAAAGATTCTTTTGGAAGATATCTACTCTGTACCTACACTGAGTTTTTTCTCAACACCAAACCGTTATTTTAACACCTCGACACGTGTTTCGATCACCAAGTGATCATCTTCAAGAGGAAGAGCAAACTCCACTAATATTCATTACTGCATCACATGTACCTACACTGTTGTTGTTAGGTGTCAGTCAGAATTTATAATTCTACTGTCATTTTGAAACAATTGGGAGAAAATTATTTTGTGGTCACCGCAATTGTCTAAAATTCATCTTCACACGCTTTGTTCATAGATTTTACGTTTCATGTCACAGAACGTATTATGAAATAGCGTGTGTTAACTCAGGGAAATGAAGACACTCTGGAAATCAATGATTAGTGCAATAAGAGAAGAAAGGGCTTATTGTATGGAATTCAATATTTGTAATTATAATTGAATCTTGGGAAGACTTTTCAAGTTTTAGGCGTGTGTGTTTTTATGAGAATCTTGTGCGATTGTTGTTTACCTGAAAAACGTACCTTCAAAGACGTCTGAGACTTGAAGTCGAAGTCTTTGTATAAAGTTAACCACAAAGTCTGCGTATGTGCTGCAACACTCGAATTTGGCACCGTTTCGATAACTATTGATCATATTTCTTTACCCTACCTACGTAAGTAAGACTTAATCATTTTACTTTAGTTGCCTGTTCGATTGAAGATTCCAAATTGCGTGTTTGATATTATACAAGAAGTATTTGTAAGATATATTATCTTAGAATCTCCGGCTGAAGGACAAAATTGATTTTTTTGTCACTGGAACTTGTTGTGGTTATTTATTTTTTATGTTATATGTAGTATTCGATTTATACGTAACTATTGCTATTTTATTTTTGTATAAATATATTTTTTTAAGGTTTTACTTTAGTCAGTCACTTCCGGTTTTTAATCGAGCCCCGCATTCTCTGCTCACAATTTTCGTGTATCTTTTTGTATAATTAGTTGTCACGTACCCTCCTGTTTTTATTTCTATTGTAAATATTTATGATAGATTTTCTGACGTAAATAAACCATATATTTAATATTTCAAGTTGTTTTATTGATTCCATTATTAGTGCAAAACTGAATAATTTGTATGTCCTTGAAAATTTCTGATGAAGTCTATACTAACCTATAATTTTATTTGCTGCAACTAATTTTCGAGCATAGTGCATCAAAAAAGATAGAATCACTTCTCAAAAATGTGTACTGTTACTATAGTTCCTGTAAAGTGAAATAACCAAAAAAAGTTCAAGTTGAGCCAAAGATAAGGGAAAACCATGAAGTCAGCGCCATCTAATAATATATTTATTACCATACCATAGTCGCGTGCTTTCTGTAGTCAATCTCCCATTGTGGGGAACTTTGTTTTTCGCCTAATCATCTAACTTTTTTTTGCAGGACAATTGGTCTTGGAAACGTTTCCTTTCGTCTTCCAAATAACGGAATATTACCAGAAATATCTCGCACAAGAGAGGGCATTTTATATTATAATGTTGGCTAAGCTGGAATTCTTGGTCATCTGTCAAAAAAATGTACAAAAAATATTTGTACTCATTTAACTTTAACATTCAACAGCAACGCTGGAATCAAACTGCGAACGAAAATGTGAAATATTTTGAAATAATTGAATTTTCGACATCTGTCATTTAAATAGAGTAGCCAACCATAAAACACCAACTGTATCATGTATCATATTTAGTAATGTGAAATACGGTCTGTACTTTAGGCACGGAATATCTTATAGAAGGGATACTAAGCACGGAACAGGAACATTTTGAGAATCTCAAAGATATTATTGGCAACCTAAAAATTTCGTCAGGTGATTACTTGAACATGGTGAAATTAAGCTTGTTTGGTTGAAATTGGCCTAACAATTTGCCGGAAGGACACCTTAATAACTCCTCGACTGCAATCAAATAAATTATATATCTGATGTTTCAAATAATTTGAAGTTACCGCTAAAAATAATATTAAACCCAGAGTAACTCTATCCTTCAACATCGAAGTGTCGACAGGGCAAAGAACTTAAGGCTCATTTTTGTTACGGTGCATATGAAATTGGATTCTTAGGTCAAATGCGGAACCCTTCTGATTGCTTGTATGAAGAATTTCACCAATGGTGGCCCTTCTCAAACTATAAACTGTTGATATAATAAATTATTTTCGCTAATGGGAAGCAGGAAAAATTACAAGTTTGTGAAAACAATTGACAGGACTTTGTTCAACCATTTGACTTAGTTCTTATATATCCGATAGACGTCGTATATTGACAATAAGCTTCTCAACATTGGCTGGATTATTTTAATAGCTGAGGCCAAATAATGCGTAACAGAATCTCTTTCCATGGTGTCTTTGAACTCCAATCATAGAACCAATACACTTTATGTAAAATAAAAATGCATAGGCGTATCCTGAGGTTGGGATAAGTTCACGAGTTAATCTATGCAAATGTTCAGGAAATAATTGCGGAAATCAATTATTTACCATAACGATTCCACAACAAACATCACTTTGTGTTGTGCAGCTACACTAAATGCACCTATATTTTGTAGCTCAAATATCTCAACATTTTAGTCAAACTGACAAACCAAGGTGGAGAAACACAAAAATTGTGAAGTCAAACTAACGAACTTTCCAACACTGTATTTTTCATGAAAATGTGGCTTGATTCCACTTTAAAGGAATAACTGAAACATAATTCACATAAATAATAATAATATATTAATACATTTGTGTATGTCCTTGTTTTTGAAACATCAAGCGTTTATTTGACTAAGAGCACTTATTCATACATATAAAAAAATAGAATATACAATATACGGAATAAGAAAACTATACCACCTTTATGCTGCTCGTAGGCAAACAATCGTCAATATCTGCACGCACAAACCTAAGGTAAAACCCATGATATTACCAAATTTTGGTTGTGTGGAATTTATTTTTATATGGTGGGAACAATATCCAACACAAAGTTGATTGAAATGGGTCAACTTGTGTCAAAACGAACTAGGATATTGAATGTTCTTCCTCCTTAAACTTTACCATGTGTTCTACCTTAGGTCTCATCTTCTATTTCACTCACACGCTTAGAACTAAGATCTGTGAAGAAAATACTACAGAGCGTTTGACAAATATCATCCTCGTGATCTTGATTCAAACAAGGGTAAGTTTAATAAAGCACCCTGTAGACAATTACCCCAACATCTAATACATATGTCTGTCAACTTATATTTAATCATCAGTTACAAGTTTGTTGAGTCAAATAACCATGTTTTTATACTAACATGAGGTGACTTAATATTTCTGTGGAAAACTCTCGCCTTTTCTAAATTAAAGTATTTTGATTCGTGTAGGTATATGTTAGAGAAAAGATCATTATCAGAAGAAGATGAACTTCTTCTGAAGTGATATTTTTCATCATGATTACTTGGTAACTTCCATCGTACATAAATAAAAATACCTCAATTCTTTGTAAACTATCTGGTTCTGATATAGAAATAAATATAACATAAAAGAACATCATGAACATCCAACAAGTTTGTTATAATTTCTGGTCATGACTTGATTTGATAAATCTAATTCTTAGCTGACAACTTTTCCCAAAACATTAAATTATCAGGTTACATTTCCGAACATTGAGATGAATTTTTAAACAAAGGAGATATGCCCCGTTCGTCTAATATCAGACTATTACAGAAATTTAGTACTTCCGAATCGAGATGGAACATTTAGTTGTACAGAGAGAAGGAGGGGTAATATTCAGTCCTGCTCCAAATGATTGTAATTATTTTCAAATTTCATTGAACCACACAGCTATCAAAATAGTAGTTATTTTGTTGCTGCTTTTGACAGCAGATGAATTATATAGGTAACATGTTATGTGACAATTTATAAAATATTGTTTTAAAACCACTTTCATACTTGGAATATTAGGGACAGAAGAAGCAAATCTTATTCAGGATGCCAGCAGGAAATTGGACAAAACAATGTATTGTCTTGGAACATGTCGAATTCATAGAAAGAAAAATGTTGCTAAAGTCAAGAGAATAAAAGAAAATTTTTATGTAAAAAAAACAGATTGTTTTGATATATATTGAAAATAAACGTTTTGGCTTGTCGGTTTATTGAGGGACTATCATGAAAAATACTGAATATATCATCTTCAAAGAGCGCACACAAAAAATTTTGTATTTGTGAAAAGACAGCATATTCAAAGTGTCGTTGGAAAAACAAAATTTCTTGTATATTAATAAGCACTGAAGAAAATGTCAATACCCACAAAAATTTAACGTAACATCAACATGACTCTCTTCTTCCCTTTGATTTCCAGTTTGTTAACACTTTTTGAACAATGGAAGTGGCAACCTCTAACAGTAATAAGATGTTATGAAAATGGAACACTGTTTCGTTATAGTTATGTTATGACTCATTTTCTTTAGCGATTATCTTTATTTAGATGAGATGCTGAAGATGTATTTGGAATGGAGGTAATTAAAATGAATTCCAAGTATTCACGTTGGTTTTCATTTGCACTAGAATGAAGATTTCGATGTAAAGGAAAATTTCAAAGAACAATGCTTTAAGTTTTTCCTGCATGTAAAAGTTTATAGGTATTATTTCTCAAGAAAAATGGTGTGTTTCAATAGCTTTTGAAAACATTCAGTTGAAAATACTAATTCATTTTATAAAAACTCTTCAATTTCTTGCTTTCAGTTGATCTCTTTTTTTGTTATTAGTTGATCTGCACTTCATTATAATCAGATAGTATTAAATTAATCGTGATTTTTGAGATTGCCTCAATTAGTTTCCTGGTAAAATGGTATTACTTCGAAACAACTGTCAATCTAAATGGATATTTTAAAATCATGTCCTTTTCTCTCAAAAAACAATTCCGACGATTACAAAAAAAAAAAATTCTATTTTGTAACATTTCACTTCAACAAACATGTTGCTATGTAACATATAAAATTGTAATGTAACTGTTTTGTTAAGGTTATATTACAATGTTCAAGTGAACATATATTTTTGTGTTCAAGTCAACTATAAGTTTGCCATCTTCGCAACTGGATACAATTCTTCTAAAAATTATATTTGTTTCAAACTGTAGAGGTAAAAATGCTCCAAAAAGAGGGAGACATATTCAAATTTCAGTCATCTCCTGATTGTCCTAACCTGATTAACAAATCAAATGAACAATATCGTTTAGACAAACAAATTCCGACCCATCTCCTATCATAATTCAACAATCACACCGTGAACAAGTGTTATGAAGTTCATTGATTAAGGCAATTAAAAAATTTGATTGATTGAAGTAAAAGTTACGTATTTAAATTACCTGGACCGCCAGGCAGAATTTTTGAACTATTTGTAGTTATAACCTCCTTTCTCAAGATGCTCCAACTCGATTTGGAGATACCAGATCGACACCCTAACCAAAATATAGCTGTATAAAAACGCCACCAATCATTATAGTTTCAAAGTCTCCGACAGAGATTCCTTTTACGTCAGCTTATTAGTAGCAGCGATTATCGCTAGTCATACCCGTAGACACCTCAACGCTTACATCCGTCGCTATAGAACATTCGACTACCTCATCTCATCTGCTGGGATTTCTTCTGTGTTCGGAGATGTGAACAGTATGTTAGCGGATATTATGATGGGCCTATCGATGTTATCGTCCAATGACATTATCTGGATTTCCTCTCCCTTCGTGAGGGACACTTTCATTATGTCTGTTTGTTTGGTGTAGACGATTTGGCGTTGCTCGTTCAGCTTAATCACTGTCAACCTGGAAAATGATTCAGTGGAGACATAACAAATAATAATAATGATGAATGCAACCGTTTGGAAATATGAAAGACAAGATGTTGGAAACAACTGAGAAGTCTGAGATTCATGAAAATATGTTGCACACTACACTTGACTTCTGGATGCTTTGAAAAGTCTGGGAAATATTAACGTAAATAACTAAACGTTTTGTTATATATATACAGGGCTATTCAAATTCGTTCCTGTACATGGGGATCTCGTAAAACGATAAGAGATAGAGTGTCGGTTAAATTGTGGCAGAGTTGCGTATTTTAGACACCTATTCAATGATGTAAATAAATCGAATATTTCTTTTTTGGTTCTGGAGATATACAGGAAAAACCAAATAAAATAGCTCCTCTGTAATACATT